AGACACGTGAAAAAATGTTCATCATCATTAGCCATCATGGAAATTCAAATCAAAACCACATTGAAATACCACCTTACACCAGTTAGAATGGCAAAAATTGACAAGGCAAGAAACAACAAATGTTGGAGAGGTTGTGGAGAAAGGGCAGCCCTCTCACACTGTTGGTGGGAGTTCAAGTTGGTACAGCCACTTTGGAAAACAGTGTGAAGGTGCCTCAAAAAATTAACAATAGAGCTACCCTATGACCTAGCAATTGCACTACTTGGAATTTACCCCAAAGATACAGATGTAGTGAAAAGAGGGCCATAAGCACCCCAGTGTTCATAGCAGCAGTGTCCACAATAGCCAAACTGTGGAAAGAGCTGAGATGCCCTTCAACAGACAAATGGATAAAGATGTGGTCCATATATACAATGGAATATTACTCAGCCATCAGAGAGGATGAATACCCAACTTTTGCATCAATATGGATAGGACTGGAGGAGATTATGCTAAGTAAAATAAGTCAAACAGAGAAAGTCAATTATCATAGGGTTTCACTTACTTGTGGAACATAAGGAATAGCATGGAGGACATTAGGAGAAGGAAGGGAAAAATGAAGCGGGGGGACTCAGAGTGGGAGACGAACCATGAGAGACTATGGACTCTGAGAAACAAACTGAGGGTTTTAGAGGGGAGGGGGGTGGAGGGATGGGTTAGCCTGGTGATGGGTATTAAGGAGGGCACGTATTGAATGGAGCACTGGGTGTTATATGCAGACAATGAATCATGGAACATTACATCAAAAACTAATGATGTACTACTGTATGGTGACTAACATAATAAAATTTTTAAAAAATTAAAAATTAAAAAATAAAAACACTTAATCGATGTTAATTTTTTCAAAATTTGGTCAACCTAGAGTAAGATTGAGGTACATTCCAAAAGTCACTCTATAGGAAAGTTAAATAACTTTTTCTTTGTCATTTTCTAAACAAATATTTTTTAAATCCCCTCAACGAGTTCTAAGATCATAAACATTTTAAGTGCTTTTTAGTGAAGATTTAAAAATGGAGAAGTAACTTGACTGTGTTCAGTCTTCTTTGTAAGCTTTTGAAAATGAAAATAAAGTATACTAACTTCTTTACAGTGTGTTATTGTCAGAGAATGTATATGTGATTTTTTCATCTTTTCCAGGGTGATGGCAGATGAGTTAACCAGTTCCAGAGCAGGATTGCAGCGTCAAAACCGCGATGCACAGAGTGCTATTCAAGATCTCCTGAGTGAACGGGAACAGTTTCGTCAGGAAATGATAGCTACCCAGAAGTATGGCATTTGTTTACATTCTGACCCCTTCTTTCTTTTGCAGTTTTTGTTACTGTGATAGTTCTTTAGTGTTTCTACATTTAATAACTTTTATTGAGCATATTCTTCAAGTAGCATTTTAAAAATAGATGCCCAGAGAGGGAAGAAGACTAAAAAAATAAGACTACATGCTTCTTACATTCTTAATTGAGAGAGAAATAATTATAGCTATAATAGAAGAAATCTCTGAGTTTAAAAGTAGTTTTTGGTTATAGTTATAGCAGTTTTGTATAATTTTTGGTAAAAGCCAAAAAGTATACCTATCTTTCCTTTGGAAGGAGATCTTTAAGGACTATTCTACAGTATTAGAGTTTACTTTCATGTGCTCCAGAACTTCTTTTAAGGAAGAACATCAATTTGTACTTCTATACACAGATCTTCCTTGACTTATAATGGGGTGGCATCCCAATAAACTCAATGCAAGTTGAAAATATCGTAAGTAAAAAATTAATTCAATATACCTAACCTACTGAACATCATGGCTTAGACTAGCCTACCTTAAACGTGCTCCTTACATTAGCCTGTACTTGGGCAAAATCATCTCATACAAAGCCTATTCTATCATAGCGTGTTGAATATCTCAGTAATTGAACACTGCACTGGAAGTGAAAAACATAATGGTTGTAAAGGTACAAAACTGTTGTATCGGTTGTTTACCCTCATGATCATGTAGCTTGCTAGGAGCTGCGGCTCTCTCCCACTGCCCAGCAACATGAGAAATATGGTACTGCATATTGTTAGACCAGAAATAGATAAAAATTCAAAATTCAAAGTACAGTTTTTATTCAATGTTAATCACTTTCACACCATCATTAGTCAAGAAGTCATTCATCAAACCATCATAAGTCAGGGCCTATAATAGATTTATTACAAATCAAATCAGTAAGAGTTGAAGAAATCACGGGAAATTATAAGAATAAAAACATATTACAGATGACCCTTGAACAACACAGGGGTTGGGGAGGCTGACCCTCCATGCAGTTGAAAATTCTTGTATAACTTTTGACTCCCCCAAAAACATACCTACTTACAGCCTACTCTTGATCAGAAGTCTTACCAATAATATAAATAGTTAACACATGTTTTATATGTTCTACATATTATATAGTGCATTCTTACAATAAAGTAAGCTAGAGAAAATAAATTGTTACTAAAATCATAAGAGAAAAATAAACTAAAATCATAAGGAAGAGAAAATACATCTACAGCACTATTCTGTATTTATCGAAAAAAATCAGACTTTAGGTGGACCCACATAGTTCAAACCATGTTGTTCAAGGGTAAACTCTATCTCAAAATATCAGATTTCGTGGGAGGCAACTAAAGCAGTGTTTAGAGGGAAATTTATAGCTTCTTTAAATGCTCATAGTAGAAAAGAAAGGTCTTATCGGTAATATAAGCTTCATCTTTAAGAAACGCAAAGAGCAAATTAAGCAGACCAAAGAAAATAATAAGAATGGGAGCAGAAATAAATGAACTAGAAAGCCAAATGCTGGTTCTTTGAAGAGATAAATTTAAGAAACCTTTAGGCAGTATGATCAGAAAAAAAAAAAAAAAAAAACCCACATTACCAGTATCAGGAATGAAGAAGGGGTATTTCACCTAGACTCTATAGACATAAAAAGATGATAAGGGAATATTATGAACTGTGCCAGTAAATTTAACAACTTAATGAAATGGACAGGGTGCTTAAGAGTGCTTAAAAGACACTAAACTACCAAAGGGTACTCAAGACAAAGAGCCTAAATAGCCTGACCTATTAAAGCAATTGAATTTTTAGTTAAAAACTGTTCAACTCACAGAATGGGAGAAGATATTTGCAAATGACACTACAGACAAAGCGCTGATTTCCAAGATCTATAAAGAACTTCTCAAACTCAACACCCAAAAAACAAATAATCAAGTCAAAAAATGGGCAGAAGACATGAACAGACACTTCTCAAAAAGACATACAGCTAACAGACACACGAAAAAATGTTCATCATCAGAAGCCACCATGGAAATTCAAATCAAAACCACATTGAAATACCACCTTACACCAGTTAGAATGGCAAAAATTGACAAGGCAAGAAACAAGAAATGTTGGAGAGGTTGTGGAGAAAGGGCAGCCCTCTCACACTGTTGGTGGGAGTTCAAGTTGGTACAGCCACTTTGGAAAACAGTGTGGAGGTTCCTCAAAAAATTAAAAATAGAGCTACCCTATGACCCAGCAATTGCACTACTTGGAATTTACCCCAAAGACACAGATATAGTGAAAAGAGGGCCATAAGCACCCCAGTGTTCAGAGCAGCAATGTCCACAATAGCCAAACTGTGGAAAGAGCCGAGATGCCCTTCAGCAGATGAATGGATAAAGAAGATGTGGTCCATATATACAATGGAATATGACTCAGCCATCAGAAAGGATGGATACCCAACTTTTACATAAACGTGGCTGGGACTGGAGGAGATTATGTTAAGTGAAATAAGTCAAGCAGAGAAAGTCAATTATCATATGGTTTCACTTATTTGTGGAACATAAGGAATAACATGGAGGACATTAGGAGAAGGAACGGAAAAATGAAGGAGGGGAAATTGGAGGCAGAGACGAACCATGAGAGACTATGGACTCCGAGAAACAAACTGAGGGTTTTAGAGGGGAGATGGGTGGGGGGATGGGTTAGCCCAGTGATGGGTATTAAGGAGGGCACGTATTGCATGGAGCACTGGGTGTTAGATGCAAACAATGAATCATGGAACACTACATCAAAAACTAATGATGTATTGTATGGTGACTAATATAACCTAATAAAATAAAATAAAATTTAGAAAAAAATAAAAACCTTTCAATAAAGAAAACTCCAGGCGTAAATGGATTTACTGAAGGATACTAGCAAACAACTAAGGAAGAAATAAAGCCAAATTTACAAAAACTCTCCTAGAAAACAGGAGAAGGAAATAATTTCCAACTGACTTTATGAGGCAGCATTATCTTGATACCAAAACCAGACAGAGATATTACAAGAAAGCTACAGACCGGTATTTCCAATGAACATAGATGCAAAAGTCCTAATCCAACAATATATAAAAAGAAGATATATATATCCTTATACATCATGGCCAAATACATTTTATCCTAGGATTTTAAGTTGATTTATCATTCAAAAATCCATTAATAATAGATACACAAGTCAGATCAATAGTCCTATTACTAGTAGATGAGTATATTAGTATATTTTACCTGTACTAAAATATGAGAACTAAAAAAAGTACTGTGTGGGGCACCTGGGTGGCTCAGTCGGAAGTACTGTTTGTTGAATGACTTCCAGATAATTACCTGATAAATATATAAATGCTTTCTATAGTCTTATTTTACCAGAATTCCCAATTTATTGAACTCTGAAAAAAAGATATAGGAGAAAGATACTATGTAGATCCTTTTGTAGTTCATAAGCATGAGGATTGGGTGTTCACGCCGTTGTGTGACATGTACCTCCCTCAAATCTTGTTACGACCTCGGCACATTACCCGTCTGATGTGAAAAAAAGAAAGATACTATGTGATTTGAGAGGAATTTCAGGTTTCTCATTTATTGAGTATTCTTGATTTTCATGTTTCATCCTCTTATTAATATTCAGTGTTCCTGTGTGTTCTGTGCAGATTATTGGAGGAGCTCCTAGTGTCCTTGCAGTGGGGAAGAGAGCAAACTTACTACCCTAGTACACAGCCTCACACCACAGCAGAACTAGCATTAACAAATCACAAGTTGGCAAAAGCTGTAAATGCTCATCTTCTGGGAAATGTTGGCACTAACAGTCAAAAAAAGATTCCATCAACGGTTGAATTCTACAGCACCCCAGCAGAAAAAATGGCTGAAACGGTAAAATATTTCTCTTTTGTGGACCGTGGAACTTCTAAGACTGTCCTCTTACTGAAAGGTGGTATGTTATAATGCAAAGTGCTTGGCATTAGGAGTTAGGAATTACGGGATCTAAACCTGATTCTCATGCTAATGAGCTTGTGATCTTGGAGAAAATTGTTTCCTCCTCTGTGCTTTTAATTCCTGAAACATTTTTTACTCTATCTTTAAGGAGCAAATTAGTTGTTTTGAAAGGGCCTGTCTTTTAGCTACTGAATCAGTGATAATCTTGTCCTTGAGTTCATTGTGATATGAAATTGGTTCAAATTGGTTGAATTTTTAATTCAACCATCATGAGTAGATAATGGATTACTTCTGACATCAGAAATTATTTGTTAATACCCATATATAGATATGAATGTGCCAAATGCTGCAGAATCAAATAGCATACCCCCGGTACCTACAGTCCTGGGTGAATTCAGGGTTCATGCCGATGAGCTGTCAAATGCTGTGGTCTCCCGGTTCTGCCAGCACAGCCAAGGTCACCTCCATACATTTCAGTATCTGACTCCTATCTCCCTATCTTAGGCTTTGTCATTAACCAGAACTGTTTCACTTTTAAAATCAACTCAACACCTCTCTCCATTATCTGTGCTCTCAACTTTTTTTCCAGCCCCGATTCTTTATTCTGATTACCCCTGTGATCACATAATTTTTATTCCCTTGATCCCTACATTTTTTTTTTTATCTGAGCAGCTCACTCTCCTGGCTTCTTTTCCTGCCATAGCTTGCCTAGATTTCATTCTTAGGTGTCTTTTTCCCGTATCATCCTTCTCTCAGGTACTCTGAACACTTTAGTCCTGTCAGTTCAGCTGCTTGCCTTCTTTGTTTCTGTACTTGTCAAACTGTGACCTCACATTCAGCAGATGACTTTCGTTCCTAGTTCACAAAAAAAGAAGGCAGGGGCAGAAAATTTCTTCGAAGTTCCACTTGATATCTAGAAGCCTGCCTGTGTGGCACCCAGTCTTATATACATTCCTCTCACTGGAAGATTGTCTCTCCTCTCCAAGGCTCAGCTCCCCTCCACGCTCAGCAGGCCTCCCCAGAGCATCCCTTCTGTCTGTCAGCTCTTCTTGTTTGGCTTATAACACGCCCAGGTGTCTTCCATCTAAAAAAGAAAAATCTTCCCTCTATCCTAAGTTCTCTGATAAGGCCTTATCACCTTTATAAGTGAGAACCTTGGACAGACAGTGCACACTTGTATGTACTCCCATACCATCCGTTCCTCAGGTCCTGCCGTCACTTACTCAGTGGCCTTCCAGCTCCACTGTTCTCAGAACGTATCAGCACTCCTTCCTGGACATCCCCTTGACTTCTATGACCTTACTCTTTCTTGGCCCTCTCCTACTCCCTCTCAGAACTTCTTCTTCATCACCTTGTTTCCTCCTTTAAGTGTTCTTGTTCCATAGGAATCTGCGCCCCATGCTTTTCAGACTCCCTTAGTTCCTGCAACATTACATGGCCGGCTACTCACTGCTTCTCTGACCATGCTTTTTCAGAATTTGGCAGAGGGTTAGGCATCCTCCACCCAGGCCCACTCTTGAGCCTTTCCTCTCGTAACAGACTTCCTACATTCTCTAGGGACTATCCTAGTCCCGTAGCTTTATGCTTGGGACTTCAACTGAGACATTTTTTTTGGGTTCAAGAGACATATCCAGCGTGACATCTCCATATGCACATCTCAGACAGCTGAAAATAAAACAACCTCTCTTCTCCTTGCTTTTACATCTATATTTCCCCTCCCCTCAAAAAGAAGAAAGAAACCCACTTCTCTTCTACTCCCTATCTTAGTGAACTATACCACTATATAGATGTTTTGAGAATTTCATAAAATTAATGCATATAAAGTCATAGCAGATTCTAATATATAGTAATTTCTCAATAAATGGTAGATACCATTTTTATTTTATTTTCTTCCACCCCATAATCCTGTTGGTTTTACAAATCCTGTAAAAAATAGGATTTTTACAAATCCTAGTAGGATTTGTAAAAGAGGGTAAATTTACCCTCTTCTAAGTTCACACACCTACCCTCCAGCCTTAATTATTGCAGCAGTAGCCTCTTCACCAGTATTGACCCCTTGCTTTTTTTTTTTTTTTAAAGATTTTATTTATTCATGAAAGACAGAGGCAGAGAGAGAGAAGCAGAGGGAGAAGCAGGCTCCCAAGGAGCAGGGAGCCCGATGCGGGGCTCGATCCCAGGAGCCTGGGATCACGACCTGAGCTAAAGGCAGATGCTTAACCATCTGAGCCACCCAGGCGTCCCTTGATCCCTTGCTTTTTACCTACCTCCAGACCATCCTCTGTTGCCAGACAGTTATTTTTAAAATGCCAGTCCAAAAAAAAAAGGAAAAAGTCAATCCACTTGTGTTGGTACTCCTGTTCAGACAGATCCCAGTCTCCCTCATTATGGAATCTCAATTCTTTCATATTGAATAGAAAGCTTTAAAATCTTTATTCCATCTTCTCTTCCCAAGGTTATTAGCCAGGTGTCCCCACCCCCTGCTCTTCAAATCCCAGCAGCACTAACCACTTTTCACTGCACAGACGTGCCACTGTATCTCCAGCCTCTGTTCATACTTACTTCTGCCCAGATCGCCCTCCCAGCACCTCTCTACCTTTAAGAATCAACCCTCCCTGAATCTCACTGGCAAACTTGGAAGGTCATTTCCTGAGGCTTCCATTGTGTTTTGTGCATTTATCTGTTGTAGCTCTTTATCATGTTAAGTTGCAGTTGTTTGATTCTCCATCTCCCCCGCAAACTGTAAGCCCCTTAAGGGTGAGGACTGTATCTTATGTTTCCTCAGGGTCTGGCATAGTAATCCTTTACACATAGTGGGTGCTCAGCTATTTACATAATGAATCGGTACCGACACTAAGCTCGTTGTCTTTATCCTTTCTGTTCTCCTTGTTGGGAAACTGTCCTTGCCTCCTCAGTTGCTGCCAGTAGCATGTGGTGTAACTGACTGCCCCACCTTTCTTGAAACACTCCTTTCTCTTGGCTTCCATCACTGCACACCCTCCTGGCGTTTCTCTTTTTTCTGACCGTTCTGTTTTATTGTGCAATATTGGGTATCCTCAGGGCTTGGTCTAGATCCCCTTTTCCTGATCCTTTATCCACCACATTCTCTTAGTGAACATAACTCACAGTCCTACTTTCTTAGGGTCTCTTGAGCCTTTCAGCCCCATTGCTTCAAGGTTTCATTTCTTAGCTAGATTACTGCAGTAAACTCCCTTTGTTCTTCCCTCGTCTGCTTTTAATGCCTGCCCTTTCCCTATCTTCCAAGTGTGTACAGCATGATTTCTCTGAAAGGTACCCTGCTTAAATCCTTCCCCATTACCTCCAGGCTAAAATCTAGAAACCTGTCTGTACCAGTATCTCCGTCTCCTTCCACTGTACTCCTTCAGTATTTTGTTTCTCTCTCTACAGACATAGAATGTACTAGCATATAGAGAGTATTTCCATACCCTCTAGCACCCAACCGAATTTTATAAAAAATAGATCTCAAAAATTCAATGGAAAAAACCGCAATATATTTGCAAAACAGAGGTCCTAAAATAGAATGCTGGCTCTTAAATAGTGCCAGGATGTTCTTAAATTAGCTATAACTCTTTGGGTATGGTAGTAACTTAGAAGGAAAAAACACTGCTGGACAACATGAGAGTGAGAGAAACAGGCATATCCAACCATATCTGAAAGCTCCTTACGTAAGGCATAGGCTTACATAAAAAAAAAAAAAAGAGCAAGTTCTTTCCCCCCTGCTTTTCGCAGTTCCTTTCCAACCGTGGTGCCTACCTCATTTGCACCATAACCCGCCCTCATCATGGGATGATCGTTGAGAGAATATAAACATAAGAAACAGAGCTTTGAACAAGCATGTTATCTTTGCCCTTAATTGGAGCATTTTTTTCAACCCAACAGTTCCTCCTGTTGTGGGTCTCAGTCAGGGGAACAGCAGAACAAGTCAGAGCAGAAGAATTTTACAATCAATTAAAAACTTTGAAATAGGATTTTATTAAAAGAATGCAGGATCCTGTTTCCAGGCAGTTGAATGAAAGATCCACAGAGGGGAGGTGGTAGGTGCTTTTTGGTTAAGGATAAAAATTGACATCACTTAAGGTAGAACTGATATAACCATATTTTTTTCTGTGTTTTCATGCTTTTTCACCAATATCCATGAAAGAACATTAATTTCATCATTTTTGAAAAATAGGTAACCTAGGTAACATAATAACTAGTCATTGTTAAATTTAGAGCTTTCTGGAAAAGGGATAAGTTCTCTAACCAATCAAATTCATGACTGAGATGTTATTTTTTATGGTAGTTATATATTAATGAAATGGGGTTTTATAGGTAGTTTTATATCAATAAAACCAAGGGCTTTTAGAGTCCCTAAGGCATACATCTGACATTACTTCTTATTTTCCTTAGGTTCTACGCATTTTGGATCCAGTTACCTGTACAGAAAGCTCACCTGGTAATCCATTTTCTGAGTCTTCACCAACTGCCTTACTTGCTACAAAGAAAAATATCGGACGATTTCATCCTTATACTAGATATGAAAATATAACTTTCAATTGCTGCAATCACTGCCAGGGAGAACTTATTGTCCTTTAACATTTAGTATGTTGGAGGCATGCTACAGGCCCTTGCTTCTTACCCAAGAGTCATTATTATTTGGGAGCTGGAGTTCTTACGATGGTAGAATGTCACTTTCTATTTAAGTGATATATATCCCCAACAATGTTTCATATACTGGACCACAGATTATCCTTTCTTAATAAATACCTCAGGGTAAGAAAAGAATGAAACCATGTAGATATGTTTAAAGTAGATGATACTTTCCAGGCATACATGATGCTTTTCCTAAAGGACTCTGAAAGAAAAAGATCTTACCTTTATTTTAGGCCCTAAGTTATACCTTGCTGTGTGTTTAGCGTGAGCAGATTTAATTGGGATACTCTAACGCAGGGTGGGTCATATGCAGCTACAGCCGTTCATTTACTGTTGTCTATGGTTGTTGGGTTTGGGTTTGGCCCTACAGCAGAACTGAATAGCTGCAACAGGGCTTGTATGGCCTGCAAAACTTAAAATATCCTATCTGGCCCTTTACAGGAAAATTTTTCTGGCCCCCACTCTAAAGGAATAATAGCTGGCAGGGCGATGGGTGGAGGGAGTGTCCATTCCCTTTTTGGTGATACATTTTGGACTACAAAGGCAGCTTATGGAAATACTATGGGTGAAGGGACAATATTTTAAAACTAAATGCTATATGTTAGGAAAATTAAAAATATTTTATAGCCACATTATCAAGTGTTTCAGCAAAACATATTCTCATGTTGGTTTTGTGTGGGGAATTCCATAGTTCGAATGGATGCAACTTGACATATATAAAAGAAACAGATTTTACTGAGCTCATTTTGACAAATGCAACACAATAGGAATATCCAATTTGATATAAAATGGAGGAAGGATCCTTCTAGAACATTGTACAAACTCAAAATGCAATCCATTATTAATTTATATTAATATATATTATTGTTTATTTATGATGGACTATCATAAAACACCCTTTTATAAGCCTTTTAAAATACCCACAATATGTTTATACCAAATTACACTATATTAGGTGCAGAATTGCCTATTAAAAAAGAAATCTTCTAAAGACAAATCTGGTGAAAAAACATATTTTAATGTCAAGCTAATGAGTTATTTGTCTGATTCATCTGAGTTAAACTGAAATGGCAATAAATTTCTCTACATTCTTTATTTTGAGTATTGATTTAATGTGCTTTTCAAGTCTTCATCTAACTTATACTATTTATAATTGATTCTTCAGCCTTTCCTTTGGGTTTACTTAGTATAAAACTTAGAAGAAAACATAGGGGGAAAGCTTCATGACATTGGATTTGGAAATGATTTCTTGGATATGGCACCAGAAGCACAGACAACAAAAAAAAATAGATAAACTGAACTTCATCCAAATTAAAAACATTTGTACATCAAAGGACACTATCCACAGAATGAAAAGGCAACCTATAGAACGGAGAAAATATTTGCAAATTATATGGTTTATAAGGGTCTAGTGTCTAGAATAAAGGATCTACAACTCAGCAACCAAAAATCAAACAACCTTATTAAAAAATGGGAAAAGAACATGAGAAATTTCTCTTAAAAAAGATATACACAATAGCCAATAAGTGTATCAAGATTCTCCACAGCACTAATCATTAAGGAAATGTAAACTGATATCACTTCATGCCCATTACAATGGCTGTTATCAAGGAAGGAAAATAATGAGTGTCAATAAGGATGTAGAATTGGAACCCTTGTGCATAGCTGGTGGGAATGTAAAATGGTGCAACCACTGTTGGAGACAGTATGGTAGTTCCTCAAAAAATTAGACATACAATTACCGTATGATCCAGCAATTCCACTTCTAGGTAGATACCCAAAAGAATTGAAAGCAAGGACCCAAATAGATATTTTTATACCGGTGTTCACAGCAACATTATTCACAATTGCCAAAAGGTGGGAGTAACACAGGTGTCCTTTGATGGGTGAATGCATAAACAAAATGTGTACACATGCAATAGAATATTATCCTTAAAAAGGAATGAAAATCTGATATATGCTACAGCATAAATGAACCTGTAATACATTACACTAAATGAAATAAGTTGGAAATGAAAGGACAAATGGTGTAGGTACGGGAAACAAATTCATAGTGACAGAAAGTAGAATAGTGGTTATGGGGGTCAAGGAAAGGACGAATGGAGAGTTTTTATTTTTTATTTTTATTTTTTTTAAAGATTTTATCTATTTGTCAGCACAAGCAGGGGGTAGCAGCAGGCAGAGGGAGAAGTAGGCTCTCCGCTGAGCAAGGAGCCTGAGGTGGGACGTGATCCCAGGACCCTGGGATCATGACCTGAGCTGAAGACAAATGCTTAACCAACTGAGCCACTCAGGCATCCCCAGAATGGAGAATTTTTAATAGATATAGACTTTCCATTGGGGTGATGAAAAATTCTGGAGATGGAAAGTGGTGATGGTTGTACAGTATGAATATACTTAATGCCACTTTATACACTTAAAAAATGGTCAAAATGGGCGCCTGGGTGGCTCAGATGGTTAAGCGTCTGCCTTTGGCTCAGATCATGATCCCAGCTCCTGGGATCGAGCCCCACATCAGGCTCCCTGCTCTGCGGGAAGCCTGCTTCTCCCTCTGCCTCTCTCTCTCTCTGTCTCTCATGAATAAATAAATAAAATCTTTAAAAAATAAAATGGTCAAAATGGGAAGTTTTATATATATATATATAGTATCACACACAAAAAAAATTGTGCATACACTCATAACCACAAACTAATGGCACACTTCTGCAATGGTTGGTTTAAGAGTGTCAGTAATAGTAATAAATAGTTACTAAATTAAAAAAATAAAAAGATCTCAAATCAACAACCTAACATACCATAAGGAACTAGGAAAAAAAAGAGCAAACTAAGCCCAAAGCTATCAGAAGGAAGGAAGTCAAAATTAGAGCAGAGTTAAAAATAGAGAACAGAAAAACAGTATCAAGGAAATCAAAAGTTGGTTCTTTGGAAGGATCCACAAAATTGACAAACCTACAGCCAGACTGACTTAAGAAAAAAAGAAGATGCAAATAACAAAAATCAGAAATGAAAGTGGGGAAATTATTACCAACCTCAAGTTAAAAGAAAAAGGAATAATTGTGCTTAATAATTGTAACAAACTAGATGAAATGGACAAATCCCTAGAAATACACAAATTAGCAAAACTGACTCAAGAAAAAACAAAATGTGAATAGGCCTATAACAAAGAGATTAAATCAGTAATAAAAAAAACTCCAATACCATATATTTGTATGAATATAGATGAAAAAAATCCTAAAAAATTACTAGCAAACTGCAATAGCATAGAAAAGGGATTATATACCATGACCAAGTGGTATTTATCTCAGGAATGCAAGGATAGTTCAACATAAGAAAATCAATGTAATATACACACACACATACATAATAGAACAAAAGAGGAAAACCATGTGATCATTTCACTTGATACAGGAAGAGCATTTGATAAAATCCAGCACCCTTTTATGATAAAAACACTCAGAAAAATATGGGATCAAAGAATAGGAATAAGAATAGAGGAGTAAGAATAGAACTTCCTCAACTTCATAAAGGGCATTAATGGAAAACCCCACAGCTAACATCATACTCAATAGTGAAAGACTAAAAGCTTTCCTCCTAAGATCAAGACAAGAATGCCCACTTTCACCACTACTATTCTACATTATACTGGAAATCTTAGCCGAAGTAATCAGTCAAGAAAGAAATAAAAGGAATCCAATTTGTTAAGGAAGAAGTAAAACTATCTCAATTTGCAGGTGATATCCTATATATAGAAAATTCCAAGGAATTTACAAAAAAAAAAAACCATGCTGATAAATTCAGTGAAGTTACAGAGTATCTATCAATGCACAAATTCATTTGTGTTTGATTTTGAATATACAACCTAAAAGCAAATTAAGAAGATAATTCCATTGGCAGTTGAATCCAAAAGAAGAAAATATCTGTGAATGAATTTAACCAAGGAGGTGAAAGACCTATACAGTGAAACTGCAAAATTTTGTTGCACTAAATGAAAAGAAATCCTGTGTTATGGATTGGAAGACAATTTTATTAAAATGGCAGTACTACCCAAAACAATCTATAGATTCACTGCATCTCTATCAAAATTCCAACAGCCTTTTTTGTAAAAATGTTGTGGAATATTTAAATGTCAAATTGGTTCTCATTAAAGATAACTTTAAACAACACAAGACTAGTTATAATGAAACATTAAATTGTCTGGTGTATGCTAAAAGTGCTATAAGAAGTTGAGACAGGATTGAATAATTCTGTTTTCTCATTTAGGGTCAAGTGATTAAGGTACAAATACCCAGTTGATAAGAACCTTGTCTTCTGAGGCTTTAACAGAACTCCTACAGTGATTCTCCAGTCTCCATCACACTTGTAATGTTTACCTTTGTTTTCCACCCTTTCAATGCCTTTACACATATCAAGGATACTCTTCCTCCACACACCAGATTCCTGTATAGTCTTAAATATTTCACAATATCTACCAAGGTTTGTAAATTTTATAATATGCCTAAAAGAAAGAATTTTGCAATTATACAGATCAGAGTCTGCGAGCAAACTGCTCCTTCTATACTTTAGTTTCTTCATCTGCAAAACAAGACCAATAGGGTTGTTACAAGGATTGTATCAAATTATGTAAAGCACTTAATACCATGCACATTATGAACTCTCAATAAGAGCTAGTTAATTTTGTAATATAGCAAAATTGGATGCATAATTGTTACTATCTTCTTTTTTTAAAGAACACGGAAAAGTAAGCCTACCCTATTTCTTAGCTTGCCACAGCTATTCAAATTCAAAGGTGTCATAGATGGGATTTTGTATAAGGCCTTGAACAAGGCTTGTTTAAGAGGTCACACCTTCAGCTCCATGAAATGATCTACTGCAATCTTTTTTTAATAATATAAACTAAAAATAGAAATCTGTTCCTTTCTTGTGTTCTTTCCAGCTTGAAATGCTAAAATAATTGAGAAGTAAAGGAATCTAGAGTTAATTTATTGTTCAGTTTGTTGCATGGACTATGAGATGGTATAACACAATACAATACTGCGAGAGAAGAAATTTATTTTGTTTAGTATTAAAAAAAAAATTCACTGTATCGCCAAAAGATAAAAAGCATTTCCATAATTTACAGTATGACCAAATCACATAAGCCATAAGAAATGATACCCAAAATTTTGAGGATAGCAGCTTCCAAATAAACGAAGTATTTAGTAGATACTTTCAGTTATAATGATCAGTAAAACGAAAAGATGTGGCTTCTGACATATATAGGTGGCTCTGCAATTGTTTAGAATGCTTTGCTTCTAGTCGGAGCTGTCTAGTTCTTTCTCTGGCAGCTTGTTGCTCTGCTAGTTTTTCAATCCGTTTCCTTCGCAACCATCTGTAGAAAGATATGATAAGATCTGGTGAGTATCAACGTGAATACTCTTCTTACTGTAAAGTTATTGCTATAGACTATTAAGGGAAGTTGAATTTCTCTACATTGAAATGCTGTAGTCACAAAAAAAAAATTATTAAAGTACTAACGAAAATTTCAGGTTTATCCCCTAGGCTCACACAAGAAAACACAGTCACATTTGCAATCAAATACTTAAAATTAAGTTTGTCTTAAAATGAGACTGCCAACTAAAAAAAAACAAAAAACAAAAACCTGAGTTTTGAGTAATAAACAATATTTTATATGTGATATAGGTCCTATTCTTTTTTTTAAATATGATTTTCTAAGCAAACAAGTATTTGATAGATTCCAATTAACTTATTTTTTTTCAAATAACTGTATTCCAAAACATGACTCAAATAGGTTAAGAATCCCAGCATGCAGAAATGTTGCTTTGCTCTTGTTGGTATGGACACTAATGTGTTCTTGCTTTTTTACTGCATAAAACTGTTCTTCTTTAAAATGGAAATATAAGCCTAAGCATAAAAAAAACCCAAAAAAGGAGGAAAAATCAACATTCAAACAAATTTAAATCTATACACCTTGCTTAGGTAAAATAACTCAAAAATAACTGTACACACACATATGAAAGTGTATGTGGTGCACATGTGTATATATACCAGTCGTTTTCAGAAGTAACCCTAAACAACTAAATGTATCAGAATAGAAGAGACTTAACATCATAAGCCAATGTTGTGTGGTCCCAAATTGGACACTAGTTTGAGCAAATTAACTGTAATCATTTAGGGGTCCACTGGGAAAATATAATTATGGGCTGGATATTAGATGAGATTATTAATAAAAATAAGCAGATTACAGAATAGTATACACATATCTCAATTTATATTTAAAAATTATAATGTACAGAGAAATATCTAAAAGATATGGACTAAGGTACTGACAGTGATTTCTAGGTGATGAAAATGTGACTTCTTCCCCCTCCCTTTCCACAATGCACATTTACTGCCTCTCTTATAATATTTATATATGTTTAAAAAGAAAAAAAAGGGAAGAAAGAAGCAAAGAAACAAAGAAAGAAAAAGATAGGAAAGAAAGAAATGAACTTAAAGCAACTGGATTCAATATTCACTACCTCTCCCAAGGGTTACTGGCAAAATTATGAAACCAGGTCTGTTTCCTCACAATTAGCCAGGTAATATAAAGTCTTAACCAGGTAACTGAAAAGATCAGGTTTGCCTTAAATTACCATAATTTGTGCCCAAATCGCTTTTTCAATTTGGTCTATACAGATCTTTCTTCTCAGCCTGAATTTCTTTATAGAAAAATATTTCCTGGGAAATGCGACTCTTTATTCAGTTTTTCTGAGGAGTATGTAGGAATTAGCTGTACACTATCTTTGGCCCATTTCTCTAAAAAATGAACAAAATAACAAATAAATGGTAGGCTATCAAAGGTTATCAGACAAGTAAAATATAAAATAATTTTGGTATTAAAAATATTTTAAAGAAAGAATGGTATATAGATATGCAAAATATGGAGCTAAAGAATTTTCTCACACACTTTTAAAAGTGTGGATTTACAACTGAATAGATACGTAATATAAGAGATAAAATATTTTGTGGGGTTTATTTTCAAACTTTATTGACTACCGAGCTCTCTGAAAGGACTGTGAGGAGAGGGGAAGCATCTCTGGCCTGGAACTTACTGTTTAAAGGCCCGCTCGCGGCCCTCTGTTCCTTTAAGGAAGAATAAGCATTCCTCTTGCTTTCGTAGTTCTTCTGTCTTTCTTTCTTTCAACTGCTCTTCATGCTTTTTTTTAAGCCATAATCGAAAGGCTTGTTGTGGATCTCTGTTTTCCTGCTGATTACAAAAACAAGCTTTGTAAATAAAGCAAAACTACTTTTTGAGGCCCTGCCTATACGACCGTACAAGAATACGTGTTCCACTCATCAATTTTTCATAATAATGCCAACCTCACTCCCTGCACTCCTAGTATCTAATCAAAATATATCACCTTTGAATCAGCAACACACATGGACCTCTGTCAGAAAATTCAACACTGAATTCACTGCCATCTGGCATCTTTCAAAACTTATTGAGGTAATCAGTAAATGAAGAGGGTTTTTACAGTGATTTGCAAACTTCTCAATGAGGAGCTCTTTGACAAAATAATTTTTTACAATGGCACAAAAAAATAAAACGAGGTTGAAAAAAGATTGGGATAGATAATATGAATGGAGTTGAGGTCTTTGTAACAATTCCTGAAGGAGCTCCCTGGAATGCAGTTTGAAAGCTAATGATCCAACACTTCTATTATTCATCCTTTCTTCTAAATTCTACCTTTGTTTTTAACTTGTAAGAGCATCTAACTGCCAAGCCCATCTCCAAACTGTAATTACTCTTATGGAGGGTGGCCATAAAGATATGCAGCCATAAAAATTTTCTCATAAGAGCCATGCTGATTTTGTCATAAGTAAAAGCTAGTGGGAGTAGCTTATTGTATGGTTCCTAGAACTTCATGATGGATACTATCTTCAGGGAATTTTCAAAAGTTGAAAGAGCTCTTATTTGGGAGAATAAAGAAAGCAAAGGGACAGATTTGGGGCTGGGGAAAGCATGCCTCATTATTTGGATGCCTGGCTAAAACACAAAGGAAAGGATGCATTCATTTAATACCTTCCCCAAAGAGAAGCTCAATGGTAGAGAGGACCATTTCCTACATCTTGCATTTTCCTTTTTTTTTTTTTAAAGATTTTATTTATTAGAGAAAGACAGAGATAGCGAGCAAGAGAGAGAGAGCATGAGGGGGGAGGTGAGGGAGAAGCAGGCTCCCAGTGGGGCTCAATCTCAGGACCCTGGGATCGTGACCTGAGCCGAAGGCAGACGCTTAACTGACTGAGCCAGCCAGGCGCCCCTGCATTTTCCTTTATCTATTACTCACATTGCCAAGTATGTTCCAGTTTAATTTATAAAATTTATGTAACCTAGGATCTTTGATGTACAATGCTGAAGTCTGTGAAGATAACCCAAGGATGACCTAAAGGATGGCTGGAGATGACCAAAAAGTGTTCATTCTGGAATTATAGATCAAAGAGGCAAGGATTCAGAGGTGAAGAGGACTGATTGGTATCTCTGTTCATTTATTCATTTAGCAGATATTTACAGAGTGTCTATAGGCATGCAGGTACTGGGTTGCATCAGTGAAAAAACAAGGTTCCCTCTCTCATATATTCTTTGATTGCACTGTCCAATCCAGTGACCACTAGCCACATGTAGCTATTTAAATAAAGTTAAAAATTCGGTACCTCAGTCACATTAGCTACATTTCAAGTTCTTAAGAGCCACACTGTGGCTAGTGACTACCTTATTAGACAATACAGATATAGAGCATTCCCATCATCCCAGAAAGTTGTATTGGGCAGTGTTATTCTAGATGAGGAGAAAGGTGGTATGTAGACAGAAAGTGAGGGAGTAAGTTATCGGATATCTGGAGATAGAGTATTTCAAGCAGTGGTCACAGTAATACACAAAGAAGGAGTTCTTAACCGGCTATCATCCCAGCATTCAGCACAGAAGGAATAGGCAAAAAGCCCATCTCCCATTCTTTTCCTGGAAGAGGTCCATTGGCATACTCGAAAAACTGCTGCTTGAGGGTCAGGCTTCTAATTTAGAATGCATCTAAAGGCTAGCTTTCATCTCCCCAAGGACCAAGAAAGCTGTTGACACCTCTGCTGCTGTCTCCCTGTAACCTGCTCTAAGTAGCCAGTATCTCCCATGAAGGACATTTACAAACATCTGCTGTACCCATATTTTTATGGCTGCACCCAAAGAACAGGTTCCTAGGTTACCTGGTTCTGATAGCCACTGGAACTTCCATTCATGAGTACCACAAGAAGGTAGCAATCAAATAAGTAGATCTTAATGGGCACACGAATACCGCCCTGCAGATATACACCTGGGCCCAGTGCAGACAGAACAGGAAAAAACACCCATCTCCCAGTTTCTCCTTGGAAAGGGCTTAGCCACATACCTTCCCAGCTGTGCCAGAGGGCCTGGCTTCCATTTAGCCTGCAAAAATACACTACCTGGCACAGATGTCCAGCAGAATTGAGGAGAAATAAGAGCTTTTCAGACAAACAAAAGCCAAAGGTATTCATCACCACTCAACTGCCTTAGAAGAAATGTTGTAATGAAAGAAAAGGATGATAAATAGTAGCAAAAAATATATGAAAGTATAAAACTCACTGGCAAAAATAAATATAGTATAATCAGAACACTCTAATGTAATGGTGGTAGGTAAATCATTTATAACTCTAGTATGAAGGTTAAAAGACAAAAGTATTAAAAATAACTATAACCAAAACAGACTGTTATAAATACAATATGTTTATGAGAGTCTCATGGTAACCATAAAGCAAAAACATCTAGTAGATACGCAAAAGATAAAGAGCAAGAATCAAAGCATACCACTACAGAAAATCACCAACTCACAAAGGAAAAGAATAAGAGCAGAACAAGGGAACAAAGTAATTAGAAAACAACCAGAAAACATTTAACAAAATGGCAATAGTATTTGCATACCTATCAATAACTACTTTAATGTAAATGGACTAAAGCTGAATGGATATAAAAACAAATCCCGACTACATGCTGCCTAAAGAGACTAAATTCAGCTTTAGGACACATATAAACTGACATTAAAGAGATGGAAAAAGATATTCCAGGTAAACAGAAACTAAAAAAGAGCAGGGGTAACTATACTTATATCAGACAAAATAAATATTAACCCAAAACAAAAACTTGTATGGTATTACCATAAAAAACAGATGCACAGATTAATGGAACAGAAGAGAGAACTCAGAAATAACCTCATGTGTACATGGTAAATTAATTTTAACAAAGTTACCAAAAATAAACAATGGGAAAAGGATAGTCTCTTCAATTAATGGATTTGGGAAAACTGGATTACCACATGCAAAAGAATGAAAATGGAACTCTACCATACACTATACAAAAAAGCAACTCAAAATGGATTAAAGACTTGAGTGTAACCTGAACAACTCCTAAAAGGAAACATTAGAATAAGCTCCTTGATATTGTTCTTAGAAATAATTTTTTTGGGATTTGACAGCAAAGGATTTAAACAAAAATAAGCAAGTGAGAGGACAAACAAAAGCTTCTGCTTAGCAAAGGAAACCTTCAACAAAATGAAAAGACAATCTGTGGAATGGGAGAAAATATGTGTAAACCACATATCCAATTAGGCAACATGAAAAAACCATCAGGGAAAAAACCTCTAATTATCAGGGAAATGCAAATCAAAATGACCATGAGCTACTGTTAAGATAGCTACTATCAAAAAAAAGAGGGAGGGAGGGAGGGAGGGAGGGAGGGAGGGAAGGAAGGAAGGAAGGAAGGAAGGAAGGAAGGAAGGAAGGCAGGCTGGCTACAAGGGGCTGAAGAGTGGGAGAAATAGGGAGAGGTTGGTAAAAGGGTACAAACTTGCAGTTGTAAGATGAAAAATGTCTGAGGATCTAGTGATTAACTTGTGACTATAGTTGATTATACTGTATTATATAATTGAAATTTGCCAAGAGAGTAGAACTTAATATTTTACCAAAAGAAAAAAAGGAGTAAATATGTGAGGTGATAGACATGTTAATTTAATGGGGAGAATCCTTTCACAATGTATATGTGTATCAAATTCTCATGTACACTTTAAATATCTTAAAATTTTGTCAGTTATACCTCAGTAAAGCTAAAAAAGAAAAAGACTTACATCACAGACACAAGAATGTAAACTTAAACAAAAAACAACCTCAACTCTATGAATGGGCTTAAGAGTAAACTGGATGCAGCCGAAAAAAATGTCAATGCCCAAAGACAGATCAACAGAAATTATGCAAACTGAACAAAGAAAAATATTTTTAACTTTTTAATTTTAATTTTAACAGAACCTTAGTAACATGTGAAATACTAGCAAGTCTTCTAATGTATGTGAAATTGGACTTCCGGAATAAAAAGAGCACGAAAATGGAGCAAAAAAAAAAAAAAAATTGTAAAAATAATGGCAGAGAGGGGGGAAAAGATGGCAAAGGAGTAGGGGACCCTATTCCAACCGGTCCCCAGAATTGGGCTGGATATCTACCAGACCACTCTGAACACCCACGAAATCAGTCTGAGATGTAAGAAGATAGAGCTGGATCTCTACAAACAGAATATCGCAGGCGGTTGGTTTCAAGATATGAAGCAGGGAGCCGTGATTCCACGGGCAGCTATCAGAGGATAAACGGCAGCAGGAGGGAGCCTGGCCGTGGGGATCCTACACCGCCGGTGAGCGATACCTCCCATGCTGGGGACGGGGCACAGACTCAAAGACCAGTAGTGGTGGGGAAAGGACTTTAGACAGAAACCAGAGCAGCGGAGCCACACATGCAAACTGAGGGCGGCTGGCGGTTTTAGAAGCACAAAGGGCAGAGACGTGCCCCCACCTGGAGGTGAGAACTGGGAGCACAGCTGAGGGGCACACAACCCAGAAGGCTGCAGTTTATAGCAGCAAGACAGAAATGGAGACAGTGTGGCCTGGAGAGGTCACTAAAGAACAGACTGTGATCTCTCTGCTCTAAGGCAAAGGGTTAGAAAATGTCTCTTCTACTCTGACTCTCGAAAGAGACGTGGAGACCCACCAGGGAAAGCTGCCAGAGAACAAAAGCCCCAAAAAACTGGTTTTCACTGAGCCCATCCCCCACCACAGGGGGCAGGGCAACTCTGCCAAAACAGGGTTGTCTGAGTAACAGCGCAGCAGGCCCCTCCCCAAGAAGACAGGCTGGGAGAACAAGAAGCCAGCAACCCTAAGGTCC